TGTCTCATCTCTGGCATGAATCAGCTCTGATTTTCTTTGTTTTGAGATTTTTCACATTTGCTTTAGATAATTTTACAATTCCTCATTAAGTGCTCCTTTCCTTTTGAGATTATTTGGTTGTTTTTTAATCATGTTTTGAAGTTGGCGGTGTGTGTTTTGCGTTGATTGGTAGCTGTTCCTTCTCTTGGTGAATGCATATGTTAGATTTGGGATGGCTGACAGATATCTATAATTTGTTTCTAAGCGTTTACAGGACTGAGAGATGCAAAGGGATGATAATTGTAGAGTCACAGAATCGATTAGGTTGGAAAAGACCTTTGAGATCATCAAGGCCAAGCGTTCATCGAATCCAGCCCTAAATAATAGTCTGTTCCCTATTGCCTTTGGTAGTAGGTGTTTGGGAATTCCTCAGGTGGTGGATACAGTGGTAAACGGGGTTCCACAACCCTTGTATTGCCAATCCAAGCGGACCGCAGTGTGCAGAGAGCCTGACCCAGCAGGACTCCGTAGCCGAGCCAGCGTGCCAACCGTGCAGTCCTCAGCGTTATGGCTTTCCCTTCCCGCAAGGGCGTGTGGCCTCTTGGAGCCTCCTACTCCTTACCCACCCAAACAGGCTGGTATTGCAAGGGCAGGGTGGGGAGAATGGGCTGTGTCGGGATGGGGGATGCTGGGCTGGAAGAAGGCTTGCTCTTGGGAATGAGAGAATAAGAAAGTAGAGTGTCTTTACAAATATGTGATAAAACAAGAAGGGGAGGGTGTGGGTTTTTTTCGTGTTAGTGATGGAACAAAGAGGAGAGTGTCCTTCGTGAATGAGTCACAGGATGCAGTCTGTAAGGAGAAGATAATGAGACACCTTGACCATTAGGGCTATTAATTAAGTCAACACCTCGGATGGTCTAAACCTTTGAACTGTGAGAAAGAGTGCCCAGGCTTAATAGGCCCATGAGTATTCACTTCTCTGCCCTGGGCAGCATGAAGTTGGAGTTAATGAAACATACGATGTGTGTTGTTAAGGGGGAACATGGAATAGGCGAATCAGGAAGTCTGTACCTCCTGAGTACCTCAGCCGGTTGGGAGAGGGAGAGGGTTTCATGCAGCTGGGAAATTAGGATAAAAGGAGGCTGCGTCCACTGGCAATTTGAGAGACCTCACTGGGACTTGGCAACCCTGGTGAACTCTCCCTTTATTCAAAGAAAGTTAAGACTCCTTTGTCTTCTTTTGAACACGGACCTCTGGCAACGTGATTTTCCGTACAGGAAGGAGAGATACAGAGCTGAGCAAAGACAGGCAGCTCTGTGTGAACGTGACCATACTGCTTCAGCAACAAAGCAATTCCCAAACTGTAGTGAAGCTTTAGCAGGACACGAAATTGTGGCTTAATTATTTTGTCTGACCAGAGCTGACTCTGCACACCTTGGAGATGTGTGCACCACACCCCGAGCTGAGGAGGCCGTGGAGCCAGCTCCGTGTGGCACCGCTTGCGTTGGAGAAGGCACGTTGCTTCGCTTCGGCCACGCGTGTGGTCTGGTGACTGAAATCCAGCCTAAGGCTTCAGCTTCCTCACTGCTCTCTCAGCTCCAAACACAGGCAGAGCAGCACTTCTGCTGACTAGCCCAGGGCAGGTGCTGTTGGTAGCCAACACACCCGGCAGCTTGTGTGATGAATACTCCTCCTTGACGGTTGGCTAAAATGAGAGTAGATGTAAAATGTTTCTCAACTGCCACATGTAAGCAGATGCATTTTAAAGCAGGAAACTATTGTCCAGGTGGTAACTCCACCATGTGAACCTACAAATAACAACAACAAAAAGGATTGAGTGTGTTAAAAATTTCATCTTGTTATTAAAATTAACTTGCTGAACACTGTTTTCAGAAGGCTGACTGGGTGGTTACTCTCTGATTTAAGTTCTTCATGTTATCACAGGTGTCTTATTTTGCAGCTTTGCTCAAATTCTTTAAGAGGGAGTTGTTTTTCTGTTCTCATACCCGTTTGCATGATATATGCTATGTTGTGCTGGAGGTAATTCAGAGACAAAGTCTATCCATTATTCTAGATAAATGCATGTGTACATGTGTGAAGATAATTAATGTATTATATATAAGCAATAAGCAAAGTATGGTATGTATCACACTTTAAAAATGTGGTTGCAGGAGAGATAAATGACATCAGTTAAACACACGTGTTATCTTTTGTGTCTAGAAATAGGTACCGCAGTGTTCAACCCAGTGGAATGTGGTATGACATATGTGTATATACTGTGATGTTAAAGAAAGAACTGCTGTGGTACAGCTCAAGGAAAAACTTCAGAACTTCTTTAGGTCTTTTCCATAGCATGGATACCTTAATCTAAAAAGAAAAAAAAAATATTTACAAGACAATCTTTCACAGAAAATACAGAAAAGATTATTAATTTTTTTTTTTTAGTATTTGGCTCTGTGCTATAGTTTGAGGGAAGGACCAGTGGCAAACTGTGAAAAGTGGAGCCTGTAAACAAGTGACCTACATTGCTTAGTGAAGAGTCTCGTAGGATGACAAAGGGAGGTCTTCTTTTGTTAACGCTGTGGTTACCTGTGTGCGGGAGTCTAGTGGTTGGGGCTGGGACGCGTGCCTCTGTGCTGGCCGGCAGCTGCTTGGAGTCAGGCTGTCTGGCTGGTGGGCAGCTCGTTCCATTGCTGGTGGCTCAGAGCAGCTGACTCAAGCTAAACAAACTCATGTTCTGTGTCTTCTAATGGGTTTTACCTGCCTGGAAGCTGTCCCTAGATGTTTCCAGTTGTTTTGCTCTGTGTGTTCCTCATAAAAAATGCTTAATTAGATCAAGCGCATTGAATTTGAATCTTTTCTGCTGCCTTTTGCAGTAGGTCTCAAATCTTGATATGTCAGGAGAAGGCCTTGAATTCTTCTAGTCCTGCTTTGCAACTAATGCTTTTCTTTGCCCTTAATGTTGTCTCTGTCCTTCTTTTCTTAATTTTTTTTTTTCTGTATTTTCTACCTGTATTTCAGACTTGCCCTGCACAGGTTTGCAGTAGCAAATAAAGAAGGCAGTTGAAGCGTTATTTCTTCAGTGCAGGGCTCTTCGAGGATCCCTTGATATGTCTGAACTGATGCTACTTAGCATGTGCGTATGTGGACAGCTGCTTATTTAGTTCCTGCTTTTTGGCAGGAAAGAGAGGGCATACTCCAGCATGTAAACTATGTGCATTTGTTTGAATTCAAATTTCATTGTGTTAAAATCTTCCTGATACAGCTATCAGCAAGCATTTGTAGTTAGTGTTACTTTTTTTGCAGTGCGGCAGAAGTTGGGCTAAATGTTGGCCTAAATGTTGGGCTAAAGCTTCCTGTGTCCTACTTACATTAAAAAATTTGCATGGCCTCTTCTCTTGGCCTTCCTCCAGATGTGTACAGTTTAGGAAATTGTTTAAACTTATAAGTATCCCAGCACAGAGCTATTTTTTGTTACTTGTCAACATGAAGTAGCAGAAGCAAATCCATGTGTTAGCAACGCTAGAGTTGCCATTTCTTGACTTTTGATTACTTTGCTGTGTAAAAGTTATTGCTATGGACATTGCGCAAAATATGCTTGAGATAAATCATGTATGTTACAGTACACAAGGCTTAATGGATTGCTTTTCCATTGCTCATTTTAAAATTAAAACCACCAGCTTCCTGTTTTTCTTGTCCTGAAGTCCTGTCTATCTGAGCTCTTAAAATTTCTAAAATAGCCTGTCAAAAATGGAATACAGTAAAGTGACTGAGAAGTGACTTCTGCTTAACCTTTGATTTTATAAACAATTGGTGAAGCCCTAAATAGATGAAAAGAGTCTATTTTTAGGCCCTAATTTAGAAAATTGATATTTCTGCATTTGCTTTGTCATAGCTGGTAGTAGTTGCTAAATTGTGAAAACTTTCAGCTATTACAAATGCTGAGAGGATTTCTGAGTGTTCTGCCATAATGCATTAAGAAGCTCCGTGCACTGTACATTTCAATTTATAATAAGGGAGTCTAGCTGATAGCACAGACACAGAAATATTTCAAGTCTAGACTACCGTCTTAAAAACCAAAGGCAATTGGCTTTTTGGTGGAATAAGTTGGAAAATAACTGATAAGGACATTTGAAGTACAGCAGACTTCAAAAATTCACCAGTTCTCGAAGCTGCGGTGAGTTGGGAGGTTTCAGCTGCTGCTCGCCTGCCCTGTTGTGGTGAAAAGGGAACTCAGGTTTGAAATGGCCCATCAGTGTAGCAAGGTTTGAGTGGACTCTGCCAAAGGTCACGTGTAGACTCTTGTTAAGTGGGGAAGATGAGTTTTTTCCACACTGTGTGTGTAGAAACAGAAGAGCAAAGTTCTCTGTCTTCAGAAAATGCTAACTTTGCCAGTGGCAAAGGTAATGGATGAAAAGTTTAGTATAATGCATGTTTTCTTTGGTGCCTTTGGGCAATAAAAATAGCTTGCTGAAGATTTTAAAGTGGAACTGCATACTGTAGTAAGTGGAAGAAATTATGATGTAGCTGATACTTTTAAGACCCCTTTAAAATCCCAATGTACCTTCCAAATCACTGTGTTTATGAAGTCATTTTCTTACTGCTGCTTGTGAGGTAGAATCATAGAGTGATTAAAGTTGGCAGAGACCTTTAAGATCATCAAGTCTGTCAACCCAACATCACCATGACCACTAAACCATGTCCCAAAGTGTCACATCTACACGATTTCTGAACACTTCCAGGGATGGTGACTTCAGCACTTCCCTGGGCAGCCCGTTCCAATGCTTCACCACTCTTTCAGTGAAGAATTTTTTCCTAAATATCCATTCTAAACCCCCTCTGGTTCACTTGAACCCATTTCCTCTTGTGCTGTTTTGGTTTCATTTACTGACGTCATGTGTTGTTAGCCCTGAAAAAAAACGGACGAGTATTACCTCAAACTGGACTTGGGGACTTGAAAAATTATGTAATTACATTCAGTTTATCCCTCTAACATAATGCTAACTTTATTTTTCAGAGCCATGGTGTCATGGAAAGGGATATACTTTGTACTTGCACTATTCTTGGGAAGTTTTTTTGGAAGTATATTCATGCTTGGTCCTTTTCTACCTTTGATGTTTATCTCACCGGCCTGGTATCGCTGGATCACCGACTGCATTGTGGCCACTTGGTTCACTCTCCCAGTGGTAAGTTGCAGTTTGAGCTATGTTCTGGGCAACTGTTTATAACCCCGTGGTTTAGTTTGCTGACTAATACTTTTGATTTTATTTGATTGTTTTCATGTCTTTTATGCTTTTGTCAAAATAGGCCTTAACACTTTTTGTATCAGTGGAGACTTAGTGTTGCAAGTTTTGTGCCTTCCTACAGTCCCCCTCTTGCTCTGCAGCTTAATTTCTATGTAAGCTAATGACATGTCTTAATTGTACTCTTGAAAAGGCCTTTTTGTGACATCTCCACACAGTGTCAGTTAGATGCTGATCAGAGAAGAGTAGGTGAAGCACTAGTAGGCAGGAGGATTTTTTTAAATTACAAACTTCCTGAATGAGTAGTCTTATAAACTCTTCCTTTTGACTGTGCTCCAACTATCTAATTAGGAAAATTATTCACTGTCTGGTACATGGTTGCTGACCTTCACTGTTCTCTTATTTAATCCTCTTAGAATTTAGTCCTTGTAGTTGAATTGGAGATAAATGATTTCAGGTGAAAAGAACTTCCCCTAGAAATGAAGTCTTCCTCACTTATACTGCATCAACTTTATAGCTATAGGAGTCTGGAAATCAGTAACAAAGCTCTCCCCTGCATTGTTCCTGAGGAAAGGCAGTATGAATGGGATCTGTCTCTTCATCTATTCCCTAAAAACCAAAATACTTTGTTCCTCCAGGCCCTTAAAGATTTGTTTAACCTTTCCTGAAGTAAAATGCTATAATGGTGTGCAGAAATACGTATCTTGTGGCATAAAGGAAGATTTATCTTTATTGCCTATCAGATAGTTTCTGCTCTCTCTGTGTGTTTTAAAGGGGTGTGAGCTTGTTTATGTTCTAAAACTCTTCTCCTTTTCGTCAGTTACTAAATGCAATGAAATTAGGAGAGAAGAAATAATTACCAGTAGAAGGAATGTGCTATTTCTCATAATGATGAAATTTAGCTAAGTACTGATACTGTCACAAAATTGACCTTTTCTCTCTCTGCCTACCAGTTTTTCTAAAATACTGGTCTTTCATTTGATTAACTGCCGGGCTTTCTAATTCTGGAATATTGCAGTTAGTTTGGGCTAACTTTTGCAGGCTAGTCGTTTGTTTTCAGCCCACGCTGGACCTAAACCAAAATCATTTGAATTGAATTTGTGAAAAGGATTCTGTTTTGTAAGCATCTTGGGGATTTAAGTTCAGGAAAGGGGGTCTCAAAAAGATTTTGCACCCAACTTTTGGAGGCTCAGACCTTGCCTGCGTTAGTTTTCTGTCCTTGCACTTACTCCACTTTTAGCAGGAAAAGCAGGTACTTGAGTTTGCGTCTCCAAACAGTAAACTGGTGGTGGACCAGTTGGACTCCAACAGGGAAGCTCTGACCCTCACCTCTGGGCTGTAAGAAACTTCCTCCTTCCTCACTCCCCTGCCGGGTATTATTTCCTTCTTAGCAGAGTCAGCAGGGTGGGGCAGTGAGGTGGGTCCTAATTGTTTCAGTTAGTTTGGCTTATACTAGCATTACAGCATATAGGATGGGGCATCTGTTCGTTATTATGTCTAACTAGATGTTAAATATGTAATAGGATTTTTATTAAATTATCAAAAAAGCCTGATTCTCTCTTTTCTGAAAGAAGATAACTACTACATTGAGTTACACGAGCAGGTCTGCTTTTGCAGTGGGCCATAGTTACTCTCGATAGCAACACCTTTGCCAGAATTCGAGAGCTGTGTAATAGTATTAATATTTGGCACACACGAAGCTTTTCATTCTGAGATCTCAAGCCATTTACAATTGTGAGAACTTCATTCCAGTTTTACAGGTGACTTAAAGTGATAAATTTGTGGTTTTTGAGGTTCTGTGGCACAGAGATGGCAGAAATACAAGCAGAACAGAAAGTTGTTTTATTTCCTAGGGCTCTTCTTAAATCCCCAGAATTGCTCTTTTTTTTCTCTATTTTTCTGGAGGAAGAATGGGAAAGAGAAGGTAAGGAAGTGAAGTGCTTCCACTTCTTTATGTTAAGACCAAATGTTTATTGCTGTAGATGTCCTGTTGTGTTTTGGTGGTTTATTTTTCTGTGCTAACTGGGAATGGACAGTGTCCTGCCAGTGGCCCTGACCTTAGGGCCTCTACATTATTTCTGCTGCCTGCTTCTGCTTTTTGGAATTTTGTACCTTTCTACTGTGTTTCTACAAGGCATTAAAAGGTTGCAAGGCACTAGAATTCAATCGTATGTGTTTTTAAATTATTTGCCTGGTCTTCTGCTACAACCAACTAGCACACTTCCATACACTTCCCTGCATGATTTGAGAATGGTCAGGGGACAGAAACCATTTTCAGGAGGCGGTTTGGATGTGGTATGAACATGGCCAGAGTGTGTAGTTGGGCTCTGATGTTATATGCAACTGGTCTAGTTTTACATTTATGGTTCAGCTGTCTGGGTTAGGAAACCCATCCCTCTTACATGTACTGTGTAGCTCTGGCCTGATTTTGCTTCTGATATACCACCCATCTATGGTTGTAACTTGACCCATCAGAGCCACACGTGGCAGGTAAAGCAAGAAACATGTTTTTTATGTGACTTCCCAGCATCACTGGCTGCTTAGGGTAGAACAGAAAAAGACATTTACCTCGCCTCTTGTTTGGGTCCTTCCAAGTTTGAGCCTTGTTCCATGCTTGGGGTTGGGACTTCGTAGATGACTGTGTACCATTGTTTGGTGGTTGATGCTCTTTGGTAATTGTGGGGTGGAGGCCCAGGCTTCGAGGTAGCTCTGCAGAGCTATACAGACCTATGTCTACATCGCTGTACTATGTTCAAGCTTGTTTGGGATTTCTCTCTCTCAGCTGCTCTTTCTGCCCTGAAGTTTGAGCCATTTTTGCAGGTGGAATCCAAGCACAAACATGTTGACTGTTTGGACCCAAGCAGAAAGCACGGGAGATTCTGATGCCTTCCCAATCCTGACAGCATTGAGAAATAGATTATTTGTGCAGCCAGTGTCTCCTTAGATTACCTGCTAAATTATAATCCATACTGATTCCCCTTGCTTTTAGTCCTATGTGATAGTATTCTGTGAAAAACAGGGAAAGCTAAGTTTAATACTGGATGTCAAAGAGTGTTAAGAGTGCTGTTGTGATTTTTTTTTAAGAAATGCTATTTAATTGTTATTTTCCATTAAACAGTTGACTGTTACTGTGGAAAAGCTGGCTGCTTTATTAGAAAACAGTCAGGAGTTTGTTTACCAGTCATAATGTGAGTGAATAAGTGAAATTATGTAATTCAAACTAATTTTTATTGCTAATGGGCTGGTGCTTTTCTTCTGGGAGTAATGCCATAATATTGACATATTATTTCTAGGCCTTGCTGGAAATGGTGTTCAGTGCCAAGGTGGTTGTTACTGGTGACGGATTTGTTCCTGGAGAAAGGAGTGTCATCATCATGAACCATCGCACGCGAATGGACTGGATGTTCCTGTGGAACTGCCTGCTGCGATACAGCTACCTCAGACTTGAAAAAATCTGTCTCAAATCCAGTCTCAAAAGCATTCCGGGATTTGGTAGGTTACTAACCCCTTTAATTTGAAAGGAAAACATGTTTAAATTTTGCCCAGCATTGTTCATACCCTGTTAAATAACCTAGGTTTAAATTCTACTCCAGTTTATATAAGAACTTGTGTCATCACGCTATGAAGCCATAAGTCTCCTGGAGGATGCCTGGACTACACGCTTAAGCAATTCTTTTTAACGATACTATGTGTCCTGCTTTTGCTTATAGGTACAAATATTTCTGCCTTAAATTCTGAAAGCATTTTTCAAAATTGTGAACAAAGATTTTACAAGCCTTTTCAAAGTCTCTTTTCAACGCTCTGGATTTGGTGCTGTTTCACCCCACATTGCAAAATGCTTTCAGCAGGCTTCTTTCTTCATTATCAAATTTATACTGTTGAGAAAATTACAAAAAAAAAAAAAAAAAAAAAAAAAAAAAAAAAAGCCCTGTAGGAAATTGCAAAGTTGATGGTTCGTTTTGATTACTGTAGTTTTAAACTGAACTTGGTTACGCAATATGCTGTGCAGGATATGAAATAATCAGTATTTATAGTGATGCAGTCTGGAAATGGATCTGACTTGCACATACTCGGAGAAATCATTTCAGATAGGCCAAAAGTTGTTGCACAAATGGTTTCTGAATAAATAGGCAGACTTATCTGAAATAAAAGCATCACTTTGCATTTTATTTATCTCTCAGATTTATTTGCTGTTTTATACAAAACTAGCTTGGACAGAGTATGCATCAATTTTATGATGTCGAAAGAGTAACTTTATTTATAGTTCCCTTTTGTCAGGCCATTTATCTGAACAGATAATTTTGGCAGGATTTCATATGGAGGAACTCTGGTACTGTTGCACTATCAGTGCATTCACTTGCTGTTCCTTTAGTGCTTTTAAGTAAGACCTGTAACTAGGTAACATACTTTTTTTTTCCTAAACAGTCAAACATTAAGGTCAATTTTACTTGACAAAAGGCATCTCTATTAACGTTACAGGAAATGAGAAAATATGTATTTAGATAAATGTTTTATCTTCATAATACAGCAGAGATGTTTTGAAATCTTAGAATCAGCTGCATCTGCATCTTTTTAAAGCAGTGATGGAAGATGGAATCAGGAGTATAGTTCGGAAGATTCATAGTTTTATCTTTTCAAAAGCAGCATACATTTTATTTGTAACATAGCAGTTGTAGGTATGCTTGTTAATGCTTTCAATAGAATTGGAAGGTCAACTCCAGGAGCTTGGATGCTGTGTTACACTTGGCAAAATTTTGTTTCTTAACAGGTGTCAGGAATTGTATAGAGGTGGACTTACTTATTTTCCAGTTCTCAGTTCTGTGCATAAACTGAGCCTATCTAATAGATTTGCTGAGTAGGCTGAGGCAGATGGAGCTGCGGCAGGCTAGTGTTAGCAGATCACAATTCTCACTTTGTTCATAGTCTGACACAGTAGTTTAGGCCACTTGTGACATTCTGGGCTCTTACTCCACTTTGTGGGCTGTTAGTGTTGTGTTATAAGTCACGGGCGAGGAATCCAGCTGATCTATGCTCTTTGCTTAAGCTGTGATTTGATAGTCTAAAATGATAAATATTCAGTGTCTATTCTGCTGTAGCATATCTGAAAAGAGACCTTAGAAATGTGCCTCCATGTTCAGTCAGCTCGTGTTTTGGGTGGCAAATTCTTGCAAAAATGAAGTATTCTCTATAGCCATGTAGCTAGGAGAAAGTTGGAAAAATGAGACATGTGAATGGAATTAAGATTGATGGAAAAGATTTCATCATGAGGCCATATGAAGTTTGTGGTGCAGTGATATGGCAGGAAACTGTGTTCAAAGCTGGGAACTCTGAATCTCATCAGTAAGAGCAGAATTTCTCCCATTTCTCTTTAATGTCCCAGCAGTATTATATGATGGGTGTTTGTCAATTTTTGTTTTTGTTAAATTGTGTCTGGTGGTTCACATAAAAGTCTGTTTTACGAGCTTGTAAAGGCAAGGTGGTAACTTGGAGATCAACTGGAGAGTTTCAGTGCACTGCAATTGTAGTTGATATTTTAGATGTTGACCATTTAAGGTATAATATTTTTGGAAATTGAAAACAGCTACTTTCCTTTTGATATTTTCATATATTTGTATGATTTAGCTGTACATAGTTAGAAGTATAGGATTATGGAAGTATTGATGTATTGACTAAATATAACTTCTATTAAAACTTTCTCAAATTCAAAACACAATTACTACTAGGTAAATATTTTTATGAATAGACTATTGCTTTCAGCACAATTTCTTCTAATCTTCAAAGGACTCTTTTATAAGCACTTTGTTTAAAAATATGTGTAAGATAAGGTTTGTGATGCAACCCTTTAATTTCCATGTTGCTAAAAACCTTGCTGATATTAAGCATCGCACCTCTCTTACAAGTACTGCACCGGTTAGGGTGTAAAAATAGGTTTCTGAGAGATTATACTGATCCAAGTGGTATATATGGTAGGTGAAGGGCAAAGCTTGAATGCAAATAGATCTGGAGTCTTTGTTGCCCCCTTTGTAGGTTAAAAGTATAAAGGCATCAGATTTAATGAGTCTGTATTAAAAACAGGTGATTTTTTTCTAGTTAATTAAAATTAAAATCAGAGGAGGCAGTATTTCAAGAAGCGTTGAGTCACTTACCTAATTCTTAAGTTATTAATTCTTTGGATTCCAGTGTATGAAAAAACATTGCATTGATTAAAGGTGAGCCTTAAAAAAAAAGAAGCCCAAAGAAAAACAGATGGTCCTTTCTTCCTGGAACCGTAGCTTTGGCTTGATAAATTGTGCGCAGTAAAGTTTTGAAGGAGAGGTATTACGTTTCGCTAATCTCAATTTCAGAAACATTCTCACAGCCTCTCAGTACAACTTGCCAAAGTTGGCGTCTCGAGGGAGCGCTGCGTTGCTCTTAGCTGTTGCTGCAGTTTCTCATCTGACATCATCAGAAACTACTGACACATTCTGCCGTGTCAGTTTTCAAGGAGAATTTCCAACGGCATTGACGGCTTCCTGCGTAGTCTGACAAGATGGCACTTCTCCATGGTACTTGTAATAGAGATGTGCGATTTATATTCTCACCTATTCTCAATTAAGAAATACAATTGGAAGTGATGCAGATTATGATGATGTGTTCAGCGCATGCTGTGGACTACGTGCTGTTCGAGTAGGTACCAAGGAACATGAACAGTAGCATCAGATGAGCAGATAATCACTAGAAGCTAGTTTCACACTTCTATTTTTTTTATCTTAATAGTTTCATTTGTAAAAGTCTTGTGATATGACTTCACTGGAAATATAGATATATTTTAGTGGTGGACAGTTCACATGTATTCATTGTTTTAAACAGGATTTAAATTATGGGTAGACTTGCAGAGTGTTAGGATTTTAGTGGTTACGAGTGCCTCGACATCTGTATGAAAAATAAATTAAAATTTGCGTTTAATTTAAGGGCTCTCAGGTAAAACTGATAGAAAAATAAGAGAGAGTGATCAAAGAGGTTAATGTCAGCATGTGGCTTCTACGTGAGATCACCTTGGTTTTGCTTAGCGCAGATGGAAAAGATAAGTAACACCATAATTCAGTGTACAAATGTTAAGTATGCAGGTGCTTCAGGCACCACTGATGGACGTATCTTGAAAACTTCACATTTTTAAGAAGGCTTACTGAGACTACTAAACCAGGGAATTATATCTGGGCAGGAACACGTTAGGAAAAGATAAGATGATGAAGAAAAAAAAAGAGAATAAGCAAAGCAGGAAAACCTGAAGCAGTTAGGAGCAGAGATAACTGGGCAACTCTGTCCAGATCTTCATCTCTCTATTCAAGTTATTCTGTGGCCAAAATTGCAAGATGTAGGACCTTTTTAGTTGTTGTTTTTGACTTGTCGGGTCCCTCATGTGTCGTAGCTCTCAGAGGCTTAAGTCAGGTTTGTCCCTTGTTGTGTTAAGTGCATCGAGAAGATAAAAATAAAAAAAAGCCGACTTTTGCTCTGTTTCAGCACAGGGCTTAGCCTCGCCAGTCTTTTACTGCGTGCCAGTTGATCCATTATAGCTGTCCATGTGTGCGAGCTTCGCCTGAAGCAAATTTTAAGTAATTTGAGTCATCTTAGTTTTCAATGAAGCAGGGCAAAACAACTCAAATTATCCTACCTTTGCCATGGGCTACGAGCATGCACACCGACAGCTATGATGGATCAGTTACTGTGAAGTAAAATATTGGTGTCGCTAAGCCTAGAAAATTTTAGCACTTAACTCAATTGGAGTGTAGTTAAAGCAGCACGCTGCGGGGAATCCGTGTGCCTTTCAGTTGACATAGAAGTGTTGGTGCTGCCACAGCTACTTGCACAGGTAGAGATTGAAATACTTCAGCATAAATCACCTTTGTTTGGCTTATAGCTGGATTTGCGTTAAGATCCTTACCAGTAGAGCGTATTGGTTAAAAAATTTAAAAAGTGTGCAGCCTACTGAACTCTCTAGTGTAGCACACGTCTCAAGTAGCTGTTATGTTAAAAGAGGCTGAAATGAGAGTTTTGAGGAGCAGTAACATTTTGTCTTCCAGCAATTCAGTTATGAGCTGCCATACTTAATTATGTAAGAGTTGTTACCCTATGCGATTTTTTTAAAGCTGAAAAGTATACTCTCTGACGGAAAGCACAGTTGTTATTCTAACAGTTGTTTGCGGTGAAGACACATACAGAAGACTCTTGAAGTCTCATGTATGAGGGAAGGATTAGACTTTGAGGCAAAAATGCAGCTTAATTTGCCTTTACCTCCACATACTTTTTTTATTTATTTTTTTTTTTGTGGGGAAGGAAAGAATTAGGTATGTGTTTCCCAACTCTTTATTTAATAATCCAGGAAAAACATAATGGAAATATTTTTGTACAGATACCCCAGAAATTCTCCCAGCTCTGTCAGGGGAGAAAAAATACTAGCCTATGTTCCGGTTAAACTTCCCTTGTCCTTTCTTTACCTGTAATAAGGACTCCAG